ACTGCTCCCTTCAGCAGTGTACTTCGTCAGTTGGCGTGTTCTGCCCCCCACTCTGTCTCTGGTGAATCCTCTTACCGCCCCTGTGCCTCTGGCCTATACCCCAGTTCTGTATGCAAAAATAAATAAATAAATGTTAAAAAAAAAAAAAAGACAGTATTCAGTGAACAAATTCAGTCATCAAATATTTTGAAAGTATTTTGTTGTTAGCGCAATGGTTTACAGCCATGGTCATTCTGCGTTCTGCAGTGTTTTTGGAAATTTGTGAAACATCATTTCCATGTGATTAGTATGTGGTAAACTGGCCTGTGGTGTGCTGCTCAGCCCAGCAAAAAGGATTTCCTCACTTCCACCTGCACTTTTCCCTGCCCTTCCACACCAAATATAAATCTGTAAAATAAGTTAATAAGAAAGATTTGGACCTAGTAGAACCAGGAATCCTAAAGGCAAGATGTTGTATAAAGCAGGCTTAGCCTCCCTTCATGGAAACTCTCTCAAACGTTTTATAAAGTCCAAAAGTCATAGCAAAAAAGATAATGGATTATATTGAACAGGATAAGAAGGTAACATAAAAGTAATATTTGTTTGAAACTCTGACCTATGTAAAGAAAGTGAAAAGGACATATGTAAAAAAAAGTAAGCCATCAGTTCATGAAGATGGAGAATGAAGTCATCCATGGTGAGGATGATTAGATATCTGAAATCATGTTACCTGTGAGCACAGGAAAATCACTAAGATTTAAGATTATTAATCCTGCAAATTTTGTCCTTAATAAAAAATATGCTATTGATTCATTACCAAATACCCAGTCTACCTGCTGGAATTTTCAGCCAGCCAATCCTTAACAAAGTTTCTTTTTTTTTTTTTGTCTATGCCATTTAGTCAATGAATCGTTCATTTTCCTATCACCTAGGACTAGAACAAAAACTACCCGGAGATGTTAGGTAAAACTAACCATTGAGAAGTCACAATTAGTCGGAGCCCTCCTATGCCCATGCGGAACCAGGACAGAGCCTTACTAGCCACTCTATATCAAAATCAGGACAATTAGGCAAAGGAAATATCTAAGATCAGACCATCACTTATTACAGAGTCCTCTTTCAACATGTTATTTCATTTCCCTCTGCTTCACTGTTTTTGTTTAGTCCTGTTTGCAAAAATGATATTCCAAATGTGTGCCATTAGCATAACATGGGGATGTTGTGTCAAAAAGTATTTAAAAGCTCATCAGAGAAAGAAATTCTTTTAAAATGAAGTCATCCTTTCTTTCTGGAGGAAGAATTTCCTTTCCTTTTCTTTTTCTTCCATATTGAATGATAACTCTGATACTTTAACTGTCTATACCCAGATGCAGTTCATGGTATACTCTGCTTATACCAGGGCATTGAGTTAAAGAGTATTTGCAAAAGAAATCTGCAGCCGTGTTGTGAATGTTTCTGTTTTAATTGCACCACATAGGGCTGTAAACCTTTAATTATTTTGTCTCCCACTGGAATATCTTAAACAAAAACAGAATTTTCTAATTGACTCACTGGAGACTTGTAAGGATAAAATGGAGATAACTTGCTCTTGTTTTGTCATTTGAAAATAATTAAATAAAAATTCTTTACTAGGGAGAGATCAGGACTTAGTGACCACTTGAAAAATTGTATTTTTGGTGTTTCAGTAGTAGAAATAGTTGAAAAATTAAGTCGCTAAGAAGTAGCTCGGCATAGCTTTAAAGTTTATCATTAATAAAGTTCATTAAGTTTCATTTCCTAAAGCTAGAAATGTGAAGTTACTGAAAAGTTTTGCCTCTATTGCCAAAATAGACCTTATCCTCATTTATTGTATCATGGTAGATAGAAACACAACTTTGATGGTAATCAAAATGTATGGCCCTCCCTGGTGGCGCAGCGGGTTAAAGCACAGCACTGAGAATCTAAAGCCACTTCAGCATGAGTTTGATTCCCGCCTGCCCCGGAGGTGACCACATGGTGTGGCAGACCTCTCCTGGCCCGCCCGCTGCTCCCCTCAGCAGTGTACTTTGTCAATCTGCCTGTTCTGCTCCCTACTCTGTCTCTGGTGAATTCTCTCACCCTCCGCAACTTTGGCCTGTACCCCAGTTCTGTATGAATAAATAAATAAATCTTTAAAAAAAAAGTTATTTAAAAAAAATGTATTATGTAGGTGTCATTACAAAAAGCAAACAGACATACCACTGATTTGGAAAAAATTTCTCACACAAAACTAGCAATAAAGGATTGATCACAAAGAGATACAAAGAACTGATGAAACTCAACAAAAATAAACAACCCCATCAGACTTATTGCAGATGCAATAAGTCTATGAAAAAATGTTCAGCATAACTTGTAATAAGGGAGATGCAAATTAAAACCAAAATGAGATACCACCTCATCCCAGTGAGAATGGTACATCTTCAAACAACTAGCAACAACAAATGTTGGCGAGGATGTGGAGAAAAAGGAACTCTCCTGCACTGCTGGTGGGAATGCAAACTGGAAATCTGTTTGGAGGTTTCTCAAAAGGCTGAAAATGGAGCTCCCATATGACTCAGCAGTCCCACTCCTAGGTATCTACCCAAAAGAGAAAAACACTGATTCAAAAAGATACCTGCACTCCCATGTTTACTTCTGCTTTATTTACAATTGGAAAGACATGGAAACAACCCAAATGCTCAAAAGTAGATGATTGGATTAAAAAGATGTGGTACATATACACAATGGAATATTACTCAGCAACCAAAAAAAAATAAACACATGTTGTTTACAGTAACATGGATGGAGCTGGAATAGATCATGCTTAGTGAAATAAGCCAAAATGAAAAGGAAAAATACCAGATGATTTCACTCATAGCAGGAGTATAAAGGACCATGGGGGGAAATAATAATAATGATGAACAGCTATATACCAGAGACATTTTATGGGGGTGGAGTGGGGAATGGGATCAAAAACAGTGGGGGGGATGAAATGCACTGGACTATGGTGATGGCACATGGGTGATTTGGTGAGTGGAAGCCCATGGGGATTACAACTGAGATAGAAAAATGCACAAAATGATGTAAAAATAAACTATAAAAAAAAAAGTATTATGTAGATGTCAAATTATATTGTTATTTGCCTGAATGCTCTATAACATTTAAACCAATGTTACATCAATAAATTTTTTAATGATAACAAATAATAAATATCTCTTATCCTCTACTCCAAGTTTCCAAATATTTCAAGAAGATCACATTTAAAGGTCTTCACTGATTAGCAAAGCATAGGACAATTCAGTACACACTTTTTACCATTTAGAGATTATCCTCAGAATTAAGATATGTTAAATCTGTCATCTGTATGAAATAATTTAAATTTATCACACAATTATTGAGTGAATTAGAAAATACTTTGTGACATGCAACTCACATGATACTTAAAAACTGCTTAGAAAAATAAAATAACATAGAAATGTAAATTTTTTACTTCCAGATAAATTATGTAAAATTTGGAATTCAAGCTATCATATTAACATTTCCTATACCACTAAGTGTACTATCTCCCTATAGCTTCACTTGCTCATAAGAATCAATACATTTAGAGACTCTTGATTTATGAAATGTTTGCTGAATCCAAGTTTAACTTAATGAAATCACTTTAGTAAAACTATTAAAGTAATAGGGGCCCTCCCTGGTGGTGCAGAAGGATAAAGCACAGCACTAGGAAGCTAAAGCCACTTCAGCATTAGTTCAATCCCCACCCCAGAGGTGACCCACATGGCATGGCAGACCTCTCCTGGCCCACCCTCCGCTCCCTCAGCAGTGTACTTAGTCAGTCAGCCTGTTCTGCTCCCTACTTTGTCTCTGGTGAAGCCTGTCACTGCCCTTTCACCTCTGGCCTGTACCCCAGTTCTGTATGAATAAATAAAGAAGATCTTTCAAAAGAAAACTATTAGCATACAAATGACATTCTATTACTTAGAAAACAGAATCTCAACCATCATGAGAAAAGCATAAATCATATCTCATGCTTTTGACATTTTGTTCATCTATAAGCTTGTATTTGTATATCCAAGAGTACAATAAAAATCTTCATATTTGACAAATATATTCTTAATCAGATAATACTATTCTATTCCCATTATTCAGATAAAACACCAAAGAATCAGCGATGTTAATGGCTTGCTCACCAAGACTCAAACTTAGGCCTTATCTCCACATTCAATGTATACTCAAGTGCAAGAGAAAGTATCCTATTAGCAATACATAGCATGACATAGGGAAGTTCTCAATGTATGGCCTCTGACCCAACAACTTCAACATCACCTGGGAGATTGTTAGAAATACAAAGTCTCTGGCCCCTACCCAGATGTCCTGAGCCAGAAACTTAAGGGATGAGGCTCAGCAACCTGTGTCTTAACAATCCTTCTAAAAGCTTCTGATGGATCCTACAGTTTGAGAATCATTGCAATAGATTTTTCTCTTTTGTATATTAATTTATGAAAATGGCAAATTCCATGTGCACTTGTTATACTGTTAACTTTGAGAAAGGTTATATCTATTCACACACAAAAGGACCAACCTTTATCAAATGTTTCCTGTGCAGCATTAATTATTGTTAATTTTCTATGCATGTTCACTCTTGAATCAGCACAATAAGCCCTGTGAGGGTAGGTGTTCGTTGGGGTCCCTGAAAAATAGAAAGATCAGGTAATTTTCCTGACACCTGATCGTTAGTGGTAGGGAAGAGGTAGCTGGGTTGAAGAACATATTTGAGAATCGAGAATTTGTACAGTTAACAAATATTCCTCAAGAAAATGCTGCATGCAAGTTGCAATAGAAAGTCTGGAGTTAGCAGGCATGGGGGTGAAGTCCAATGAGTAACCTAATAGAGAAGGAACTTTGCTTACTGGAGATGAGAGAATCAAACAAATGGTCTCTGAATAAAATCCAGCACAAGTTTATGACTTAATTACTGAAAACATTTATTTAAATGTCTGCTTTCCTAAAATAGTCTAATGCCTCTGGTTCACATGGACCATAAAATATCTGAGGCAGGTGGCAGGGGTGAAATGTGTTATAAAATTATTATGCTATAAACATTTATGGAAAAGTTTGCAAAATATAAGAATCTAGTGAGAATTTTTTTATGTTGTTTTCCCTCTGACAATACATTTCTATTTCATTGTTGCTAGGTGTTTTCTATAGTCCCCATATTTGGGGAAAAAATATATACATATATATTGAGCTCAGATGAGTAAAAGTGCAAAAACTTCACAGAAGTATTTAATTTTTATCAAAACATGACTCTGCATAAGAAGGGAAATCTTTAGTAACTTCCTACTGTTGTCCTTATTTCCACTGTGTCTAATCTACACAGACATCAGAATGAGCCTTTAAAAATAGAAGATCACATCATTTCCTGTCTGAAAGCCTACAAGAGTCTTGTAACACATTTAAAATAAAGCCTTTTCAAAATACAGTAGGCATAAATCTTGAATTCAGTGAAAGAATTTAATGGTTTCCAGAAGGAACAGAGTGGAGTGGAGGAAGAAGGGGATGGGAGAGTGAGCCAAATGGAAACAGCTAGCATATTGGCAAGGGTGGGTCTGGTGGAAGGTGAGTGGAACATGTGCACATAGAGAAGGGCAAAATGGAACCCCAAAATTAAAATTTAAAAATTCCCAAAAAATTTCATTAAAGCAAAATCAGATAAAGCTTTTACATGGTCGGCAAGACCTCTAGGAGAGGCCTCCGCTTCCCTCTCCCAACCTCCTGCTGTCACTCATAATAGATGCTTTGCTGCTCCTTTTGTCAGCAAGTTCTGGCCACAGGGCCTTTGCACTTGCTCTCCCCCATCTTTCTCAGCGCTCAGTCAGTGATTGACTCTCTGACTCCATGCTGGTCCCTATTCAAATATCACCTCTTCAGAGAAACCTGCCCTTATCTTTAAAATAAAAAGCTTATGTCATGTAAAAATAAAAAAAAAATTGCTCAGTATATACTATTTCTGCTGAGTAAATTTGCTTAAGAATAAAACAAAGAGGCAATATTTCCAAGAAAAATGTGATTTTTTTTATGCATGAATAAAGCCAAATTCAACTTTAAAAAAAAAAGCTTATATCATCTTACTACGTATCCCAAATCCGTGTTTTGTTTTATAGTACCTATCACTTACTTTATGTTATATATCCATTTGTTGACTTCTCTTCCTATAGGAATTTAAACTCTCTAAGGGTCAAGCCTTTGCTGATGTGCTATGTCTTCTCTGAACCCTAGAACAGTGTCTGGCCAGTTGTCATTAATTATTGTTAATTTTCTTTAATGTTTTTCTTCATTTCTTTTAATGTGCAGTATGCTGCAGAATAATCACCTGAGACAGGTACCCATGGAAGCTCTACAGAATTTGCGAAGCCTTCAGTCCCTGTAAGTACAGCTGAATTGCAAAATGTCCTCAGGACCTTTTTAGAAGACGCATAGAAATGATCAGTTCACCATTTTAGTAACTTCTTTGCTTGGAAGTAATATCTAAATAAATTATCACTGAGAGTTTCCATAAGAGCAACAATTCTTCACATCCTCATTTAACAATACATATGGAGGGACTAGTATTGGTGTTTAGGGCTTCAGGGAAGAGACTTATAACACCTACCTCTTATATATACAGGTATCACAGAGAAAAAAAAAATCGACTTCTACAATTTTGTCCTACATTTCTTTCCAATCCCAGGAACATTAGTTCCTGAATTCAAATTGGGGGGAGGGGTGGGTGGAGGAGGAGGAAGCCTTCCTTATACCTAGAAAAATGGGTGTCATATTCTAGACATCTTGGTATCTTCAAGTTATTCACTGTTAGATTAGCAATCTGTCTTCTAATGAAATTCTGCTACAACAAATAAAGACTAAATTTTAGTTCTGTGTGCACACCAGGAATCCTTGATCAATAGCTAAGATCTAAAGGTATATCTTAAAGTCTTTCTGTGCAGCTCTAAAAACTCTGTCACCACAAACAGATGTGCAAATATACTCACAATCAGTCCCACACACAGGCACCACACACAGTCACACAAACTTACTCACCATCCTATAGATACATACATTTACACCTCAGATTAACACACCACTCGTAACCCATACAAAAACACAAATATACAACATTTGTGGCATTGGTTTCTCTGAATCTACAACTCTTCATCAGGAGTCTCTACCCTCTGATTATTTATAATGTCTAAATAAACAAAATTTAGTTATTTCTAAAAAAAGAAGCTTACCAGCCAGAGACTTTGGAGCTTGGGTTGTTAGTAATTGCTTACAGTGTTTATTTGACAAGACTGCCACAAGAACACGATCAACACTCTCCATTTCATCAGAGTGTATAGGGTTCAGATAGCACATGATTTCAGTATGTAGATGTGTGTGCTATGTGCTCTCGTGTTCTTTAAAATGAGGTTCTCTGCCAAACAAAATATTGGGTTCTGGTCTAGAATGGTGAGAGAGACAAATGCATTTTTGAAAAGTAAATAAACACTGTAGCCCTTAGTTGAAAATCATTAAAGAATCTATCAGTAAACCATGACCTATAGTTTGCTTAATGCCTTTTACTGAGGTGACACAAGAGAAGAAGAATGTGAGATTTGGGGATGATACTCTCTTCCTTTGATCTCTCTTTTTTTTTAATGAAAGCAAATCTGTGCTTGAGATCATTTTAAGCTTTCGACTCCAGTCACACAAAGCCACTTCCTAGGTTTTCACCAGCCTATAGATAAACAAGCCCACAAGGGCCCCTTTGTGGCCTGGGAGCGGTCTGTGGCATTTGCAGGAGCTCCTTAATGACATCACAGTATCTCTCCTGCTTTGTTGCACGAGCTTTCTCCTGAAGGGAAGAAGTAGGAAGAGTCCAGAAAAGCAAAACCCTCTCCAGTTAGGGAGTCTGTGTAAGGACACCAGACCTAGTGACTGAATAGAAAGTGAGATAATAGCTAGCAGTAGCCAGTAGGAACTGTAAACAGCTGTGAGGCAGGCCGAAGATAGAAGGATAAGCGTGTGTAATCAAAAGCCATTATCAGCTGAAAGAAGATCACAAACAGAAAACACACAGAAGTGAAGTCTTTGAGAAAGAGAAAACCATGAATCTTTTGTTCACCTGAGCTGGGTGGTGCCTCCCTGATAAAGGTGTTCAGATTTAGTTTCTGACCATCTAGATATTTACTGTTCACCATGTGTCTCTTGCGTTTGGTTTCTGGCTCTCCAAAAACAATTGCATTTGAAACTTTATAAGTGTGTTTCCTGTGAAAAAGCCAAGGGTTCACTCTCCAGTAGGACACTTACATTTCCAGACTGAGGCATCTGGATAGATACTAGGCCCCTGGTGGATTGTATGGGCTGATTATGCATCTTTGTTTCTCGGGGGGTCCTGTTGCACAAAGCACCCCCAGAGGAGGTGCTGAAAATTGACTATGCCATTTTTTCTCACATTTTTTGTGCTGCTTTGGTATAAATGTAAGATTTGGGGGGAAAATTTAATTATAAGCATCGTCTTCACCATCCACCAGGCAGACACAGTATTGCACCAAACAAAAGGGCCCCTCCCCAGCTTCAAGTTCGGCCTCTTTAAAGCTTTACTGTTGTCCCAAAGTGTTTAAACTCTTCCTCCTGCTTCCTTTAAACACCCTGAAAATTTAAAAAATTAGTTTTAACTCTAATGGTCATTGGTCTGCTTCATCTTTCACGCCTTCAGCCTCTGTGTTGCTTCTCTGTCAGTAAGAATAATGAGGAAGAATGGCCCTCCCTGGTGGTGCAGCGGGTTAAAGCACAGCACTGAGAAGCTAAAGCCACTTCCGCATGAGTTTGATCCCCACCTGCCCGGAGGTGACTGCATGGCGCGGCAGACCTCTCCTGACCCGCTCGCTGCTCCCCTCAGCAGTGTGCTTCATCGATCTGTCTGTTCTACACCCCACTCTGTTCCTGGTGAATCCTCTCACCCTCCACATCTCTGACCTGTACCCCAGTTCTGTACGAATAAATAAATAAATATTTTAAAAAATTAAAAAATAATAAAAAATAATTTAAAAAAAAGAATAATGAGGAAGGTGACACTTCTCATTCACACAGTCAACATATGGGAGATCTCCTGCTGCTACCTGGCTCTTCTTGAGTTGGAGTCAACACTGAGACCTTCCATTAGCCATTTTCTAATGGTCCCCCCCCTTTTTTTTTTTAAAGATTTATTTATTCATACAGAACTGGGGTACAGGCCAGAGATGCGGAGGGTGAGAGGATTCACCAGAAACAGAGTGGGGAGCAGAACAGGCAGATCAACGAAGTATACTGCTGAGGGGAGCAGCGGGCAGGTCAAGAGAGGTCTGCCACGCCATGTGGTCACCTCCGGGGCAGGCAGGGATCGAACTCATGCGGAAGTGGCTTTAGCTTCTTAGTGCAGTGCTTTAACCCACTGCGCCACCAGGGAGGGCCTAGTTCCCCTTTTTATTTCTCTTGAATTCACTCAACTTTGAAGCTTGTTTTCCTGATATTATGCATTCACTCTCTAAAAAGCACCCTGTGTGCCCAGGGGCTGTGAGCGCATCACCCTCTAGACACCTGGCCCTGGGACTTCTGAGAAGGAGCTTGTCAACTCTCTCCATAAAGAAGACACTTAGAAAACCCCAGACGTAGGTTATACCCCAAATGAATTCAAATCGGAATCTCTGAGGATGGGGCCCAAGCAGCAATGTTATCTAACTGGTTTGATTATGTAGTCAAGCGCTTCTTCAAGGGAGGGTTGGGAAAACTAGTGTCCATTAGCGCTCCTTCAGATGATCTGCAAATATTTGCCTGAGCTCTTCAAACCTGAAATAATAACAAAACTATATGTTGCATTCTGGTACAACTAATAATGTACTGAGAATATAAAATAAAAGTCAGTGTGTATGGACATACCTCTGCCTCATTCCACTGATGCTCTGGGACAGATAAATTTAGGAGGCCACATGCTGTTGTTGTACCCTGAATTTCAAATGCATCCCTGGACCAGCAGCCTCAGCAGCTCCTGAGAAACTTGGGTTTCATGTTAATCAGAAGCTTCATTTTCATACAATCCTTGGGTGATTTGCAAGCACAGTGCATTTGAGAAATTTAAATATTTGTTGTTCCGTGACCTAACAAAGTGGCCTACAAATCAAAACTGATTAAGAGCTACTGAAATAGATCATTTAAGTACTTTGCTCCACCCATATAGACTGGAATTCAATAAATAAAATTTGAGAAACTTAATATATTGGAATTGGCAATCGTACTATAAGGAAGAAACAAATAGTACTCATGTTTAAAGGGATGTAATTTTCCATTTATTCCACATAAACAAAAGGTCATTTGCCTGGGTCATAATGAAAACACATCAGGTACACTTGTGTTTGTTTTAACTCTCTCCTGATGCTGACAAACTGCTGGGCTAAAAAGTATGAAGTGGCCCCGTGCCAGAGCCCAGTAGCCCAGAGCCTTCCTCCGTACAACCGGGTAATGACTGACCAGACACCAGTTGGATTTCTGGTAATGTAATCAAATATAACTGAATTTCCTTTCTGTTTTTTGGAAGGGACTAGAATTTACAGTGAGTTGCATTTCACCAAGAAACTTTTGGCGTTGTAGTCATTCGAGTAGGGTCAGATTACTGTGTGTGATTTGATGGAAATGCAGAACGTAACCCTCCCGAATCCTCACACTTTTGTATTAATAGTTAAGAAATTGGTCTATGAAAAAATCATGGCTTCATTGTTGGTCATCACCAATGATGTTCCAACATGTGCCATTAGTTACGTTGATAGTTACCAGAGAATGACATTTTCATATATGTCCAGTTAAACAGGACATGATTAAACACGTGTTAGTTTTCATTTCAAGTTTGCATTAGTTAAGCTAATTGTAGGGTATGCACAATCACTAAAAGAAAATAGGTTGATAAGTAAAAAGTGAGTGGAGAATTAGGTATATATTTACCATTGTCTCATTCTTCAATTTTGCTAATATTCATCCTCAGAGTACAAGAATATATTTTATTTTTATTTTCAAATTATTCTTTTTGAGGTAAAGTTGGCTTATATCACTGTATCTATTTTGGAAGTCCAGGTTTAAACCTTTACAAATGCATCACTCCAAGGACTATATTTTAAAACCCAAGTAAGGGGCCTCCCCAGTGGCCTAGGGGTTAAGTTTCAGCACTATCACTGCTACAGCTTGAGTTCGATCCCGGCCAGGGAGCTGATCCACATGGATCAGCAGACCACTGTGTCTTGCCCACTGCTCCCCTCAGCAGTGTATTTCATCTGCCTATTCTGTTCCCCACTCTGTCTCTGGGGAATCCTCTCACCTCTCCACAGCTCTGACCTACACCCCTGTTCCTCTATGCAAAGTTTTAAAAAATAAATTTTTAA